CCTGTCGGTATTAGTGGTAACCGTGTCGGTATGTATCATCGGTAACCGTGCCGATATATGGATTAAATCTCGGGCCGCTGGCACGTGATAGTAGGAGGCGGCCGGAGGAGAACTACTTCTCCTCACGGCGCACGATATGGTGCTCCGCACTGTACATACAATATATGTCAATAAGACTATATATAGTATATATATAGAAATTAAAATATATGTTCAATGTTAATTTTATTAAAACTTAATTATTCTCCATATATTAAAATTAAATGTTAATACAATTAATATTTGAAAAAACAAACATATTGATAAAAATGCCGATAAAGGAAGCAGCTTCTGACACCCTTGATTTTGACATATCAAAGTCATGACCCAAAGTGACGTTTGAAAAGTTTTATAGTTTTTTTAAAGTAATGTTCATTGATCGCCAAAAAGTTATTAACAAAAAATGATATGACAATAAGATAAAGTTTTTCATACGCAGAAGTAATAGCAAAGTCGGAAATCTATGTGGAACAAGTATAATCGTAGATCTCGTTTCACTCCTAAGCAAGAAAGGATGTGGGTTGATCCTCGCTTCGCGTGGAAAGTCGAAAACGCAACAGAACAATTACCTCCCTTCTCTCCTTAAGAGAGTGAACTACTGAATACCGGACTATAGAGACATGTTAGTCGACGTTTTAGAAACTTAAACTCTAACAAGACTTAGTACAAATCTTAACATAATTTAATTGCTTCTGAAGAAGTACTTTTCATTTGATGTAGTAAATACGAAGAAATTTCGATTTTTCGTAGACAGTATAGGTTATCATATGCTATCATAGCAAATGAAAAAAAAGCTTAAAAAAGCATTATATATCCATTTTCAAAAGCACTATATAGTTTTTTATATTTATTTGTTTCTGTAGAAGTACTTTTTATGTAATGCAGTAAAAATAATTCAAAATTAAAGAAATTTAGGTTTCTAAAATGTCGATTTACAGGTCTATATAGTCGGTATCCAGTACCCTCTTAATAAACATTTTTTTTGTTAATAACTTTAATGTACAGTGAGCATTACTTAAAACTTTTTGAAAGTCACTCTGGGCAATGACTTTGGAAACGTGTCAAAATCAAGATCATTAGAAGCTGCTCCTCTTATCGGCATAATTACTAACATATTTTAATTCGCTATATAAATATAGAAAAACGGACGTACTCCAATTGGCAAAACGTGTTCGTGGTACGTCGGTGACGCCGTTGGTCGACAGAAATGGGATCAAAACAAGAAGCAAGAAAATTCGTGCGAGGATCTATTATTTGCACTGAATGTAGGTCTTAAAAAGATCAGAACACCAGAAGAACATTTTTTGGGTTATAATATACCAATAAAAGTCTACTTACCCAGATTCAACCCGAAAGATCTGTTACCAATCGGCACCTTGAATGTTACCAAATTCATGCTGAAAGAACAAGAAGTAGCAAACTCAGTTTTTTAACTTTTTTTTATATAAAACTTATCTTTCTATAAAGTTTTACTATATTTAGTAAGAAAAATTTATAATATTTATTTTACCAACAGATAGTGCTCATGGTTGGCAGTCCAGGCTCTGGAAAGACACACTTTGTAAAAAATCACTTAAAAAAATACGGATACGTAAATAGAGACACTTTAAGCAGCTGGCAGAAATGTGTCTCTATAATCGAGCAATATTTGGATCAAGGAAAGAGTATAGTCATAGATAACACTAATCCCGATCCGACCACAAGGCAGAGGTACATAGAAATAGCAAAGAAGCGTAACATTCCAGTGAGATGTTTTGTTATGACGACAAGTATAGACCACGCGAAACATAATATCAAAGTAATTAACATATTTTACTAGTCATTAATCAGTTTTTGATTTATAATAAAAAACGTTTGTCTTTTACATTAGTTTCGCTCATTGACGGATCCCAGTCACGTTCCAGTCGACGATATTATAATCAATTCTTACGCGTAAGTGGAATTTGTGTAACTAACACTCTCGTGCTCCATAAGTTTGATTGCTATTTTTCCAATTATTTTTGTTTTATTTGATAAACGTAGGAACACTTATGTGCCGCCAACTTTGGAAGAAGGCTTCAAAGAAGTAATAGAAATCAATTTTATTCCAAAGTTTGATAACAAAGAGGATCAAAACCTCTACAAAATGTACTTGGTCGAAACAGTCGATTCAACTTGGGTGTCAAAGGTGCTAAATTAAGATATATACTTTAAAAATGGACACTCTTATACAAAGAGCGCATATGTCTATAGTTTATTGTATCATATTACATTTTATTTCACAAGTAAAATAGAAAATAGAAAATAAAAAATTTATTAATGTGCATCGTAACCATTCTGTATGTCACCGTCGAGTTATCACCAGCGCGTTGCATTCACAGGAATTACATTTATACAAGCGCATCAGAGCAAAAGAATCAAAAACCGTTATTGTAAGAAATGTGTAAATTTAAATGTAATGTACAAAGCAACCTTATTTTTGATGTAAAATTGCTATCAATACTTTAAGAAATACCCAGCAAACAAGTTAGTTAGGAGGGTACTGGATACCGACTATAGAGACCTGTAAATCGACGTTTTAATATTTCGTTTTGTGCCGTATTTACTGCATCAAATCCAAAATGCTTCTACAGAAATAAGTAAATTATGCTAAGAGTTTGCCGTTGTTCTTTGGAATGTCAAAATTCAGCATAAATTTTTTCTTATACAGTTTTCTTCTATAACCTCACCATATATTCATGTATATAAAATTATTTCTAAGCTTATGTACGTATTTACACTGAACTACAGCAATACGTACGACACAAAACAATCTAATAAAACACTCAGAATATGATTTGGTTGTCTAATTGATGCACAAAAAGTA